GGGAAAATCCCATAGGAGGAAAATTCCACTTAGGGTTAGGGTTAGGTCACCATGAACTCATAGAGCAAAATGGACATCGCCAACAAACTCGGAGTGCTTGGGTATGGTTAGGAGGGCACTGACCTTCCTAGCCTGCCCTATCTATGTTTCCTGGTAAAATACATGGGAAAATCCCATAGGAGGAAAATTCCACTTAGGGAAAGGAAGATCAAGAAGACTGTTGGAGGGAGCTGGAGATAACTGTCTCTGGATGATGAGGGTGTTTATTCGGTTACCAGGGTTGGGGCTAATTTGATGGCATCTAATTGCACCCCAAGATCACTCCTCATGGAAAAAAGCAGAATTAACACTGCAGCTCAGCTTAGAAGCCCAAGAGATACACCATGGAGTGTACCCAAATCACGAGAAGATCTAAGATGAGGAGAACAAACAGGCATAGCCTGAAAACTGAAACAGGTGAAAATCAGATTGTCTAGAGTGACGTAAGTTATTATCGAAAGGTTCGGTCAGATCTGTTTTATATTTTTAATAAAAATAACTTTGGAGATAGCAGCACTGAATATTAGATGTGCCTTTTTTGCATACATTATAAAGTACGTCAAAGCCAGCCATAAATCACCCCTAATGTCCGTTAAAATTTGACATGGAATTCCAGAAAACCCTGACAGATTCTGAACCAGACCTTCACAGATTTGAAAAGCCAGCTTTGTCCTGTTCACAAAAATAATAATAATAATAAAAAAAACCACATGGCCATACCAAACCAGTGTTTAGCAGAATGTGTGAATGCAGCTAGTATGAAGGAGGAAGGTTGGTGTTTCCATCTCTAACTTGTGAAAAGCAACAGCTGCTTCCTCCAAGACGCCCTTATTTGTATGTGAAAGAGGCTGGTGGCACATTAAACAGGCAAACAAACCGGAAGGATGGAAATCAAATATTTGCTTTCACAAAGTGTGCTTTATGTTGATGGTTTAACCCAAGGGTTGTGCACCACTCATCAGTTCTGGAAAGCTGTTTGCAGAGATTATGGTTTGCTGGAGAGGATGAGCTGGGGAAATGAACAACAGGGGCCAACATAGGTGGACTGCTTCTATGGGGGGGGGGCTGGAGGGTGACGTAGCTTCCCTCCATGGCACCCAAGCCACAGAACATCTGAGGAACATTTTGTTTTGCAGTCCTGGAGCACAATTGCTACGTTAATCTCTCTCCCCCAGCACAGTTTCCCAGGAACAGCCTTTTTAATGCATTTCCCTATCGCAACCGCTGTACCTTCCTTCGTTCAGACACACACACCCCAGACACAGAGGTGGGTTTTCTTCCGCTTAGCCATCCGGCCTCAGCTGCCACTCCAGCCGTGAACGTGGGGCTCATGGGGAGGGGGCAGCTTCTGCGCTTGGTTGTGCTTGGTTGGGAAAAGGGCACTCAGCAAACAGATCCTGGGCAAAAAAGGCTGTGGATATCTGGAGAGGCCTCAGCTTGCAGGGTCTCCAGGATTTCTTTTTTGGACTGCAACTGCCGGGTCAGTTTGTTATATCCTGGCACAAAACAAAGAGATTAAAAACGGAACATTTTTCAGCTTGCAAATTAAGTCTCAGGGGTGGACAGAATTCACAAACCTTCTGCACTCAGGTTCTCCGTGACCTAGCTTGACTTTGGTTTCTTACTTTTTTTTAATTTCTGCCGGATAATTTGGGGCTTTGTATTCTCAGTAGTGTTCACAATATGAATGCTAATCTTAAATCTCTCTAATAAGTCTAGTTCGTCTTTGAACACGACCTTCCTTTCATTTCCAAAGTCTGCCAAAGCTAAACGCTTCTGATATTTGCACCTCTCCGAAGTGGACAGGACAGTTCATTTTTTTAAAAAAACAAAAAACTTTTTTTTAAAAAAAAACAAATCTACCTAAACATGCACGCCTTTGTGGAAATATGTATGAAAGTACATTATACGAGACTGGAGGCTTCGTCTTAAGACATGGTAAACAAAGTTTCATTTGGCCTCATCGAATGCCTGTCGGCCTGCCTTTTTTCTTGATCATTTCCCTGCCAGGAATCAAATTTGCCCTCTTTGGGTAACACTTGGATTAATTAGATGCCAATGTGCAAAACACTTTGAGGATGAAAAACGCAGAGGCGCGAAGGGCTGTTGCTTCTTCGTGATGTTTTTTTAGCAAACCCTCTAGAGCCAAGAAGAAGCAAAGATCGTGAAAAACTCCACAATTGAGGTTCTTAGAAGGGACTTATGAAGACACCAGACTTCTATTAGGTATTTATTTCGGGGGGGGGGGGGTGTGTCTAACCTAGGCAACTTTAAGACTGGTGGACTTCAACTCCCAGAATTCCCCAGCCAGCACAGCAAGAATTTCAAGTCTGAATGCCTGGCCTTTATTTCTGATTATACAGAGCAAAAATCAAGTGACCTCAGGCTTACATGGGTGAAAGTGCCAAATTCAACACAGATTTCTTTTCAGGAGAAACGTGGGGCCCATCTTATTAGTAATCCCTCTCCAAATATTTCTTCACCCAAACCACCGCACAAAAATGTGTCTCTTTATTTAATGTATGCTCCACTTTGTAACACAAATGCTACAGGATATCACTGCTTGGACCTTTTTTTTTTCATTTAAAAAAGATGGACCTTACAACATTGCTTATGGAAAAAAAAACCAGTACATATCTTTAGGAATATTGAATACAAAACCCCCAACTTATCTTAAATACAGATATACTTGTTAGGAATGCTACATATAACAATTACTACATACTTTTTCATTTGTAGAAAACCTGACACAACAGACTAATTGAGTCTAACAAACACCTCATATTGCTATGACCTGGATTGAAGGCGATTAACTCTCATGCCAATAGTTGAATCTCCTTTTATTTATTAAATCCTCAAGATTCACCAACTGGAAAAAATTGTTGGATGTCCCTGACGGTGCTCTGAGCCCAGGAAATATTATTTTCATGTTCCCGATGCAGCAAATTTCCACAACTTCCTTTTTATTTTGCTAGCATTTTTGTAAAACACCAGTAGTTAGAAATCCTTCCTGATATACTCCAGAGGTGGAGAGATTGTTCTGCCTGACACTTTTGGGGGGAAAGGAGGATTCAGGAGAGGTCCCCATATAATCCGTGTCTTTCCAGGCATAATAAAAAGCCATTTTTTTAGATTTGGGATAAATAAAACCAGCTTATCAAGTTATAAACCCAGGTTTGGATTCTAGCTGAGCGTTTCAGATTTAGGTCTATTCAGTGAAAAGAAAAAGAGAGGAAAATGAATTATTTCCCAAATTAACTGGGCATGAAATTGAATAGACAGGATGCACAGCCCACCTCCTAGAGTAAAGATTTATTAATGGGCTATGAAACCTCGCGGAATAGTCAACAAGAGAGAAAAAGTTGCTGGACAGAACTGTATGAAATGACTGTTCTCCGAAGCGTGATTTATAGTGTGGAAGGAAGGGGTTTCTTTGACTAGAATCAAATTCTCCACTGGGAAAATTGGGGATTGCAGGAAATGGGTTAGAGAAACAGGCCTGGCTCTGTCTCTTGTCTATCTGCTCACACGGAAGGTGATAGAATGAGAAATCACACCTGGATTTTTACAGGTACATATGATTAGGAAACACACATATACACACCCATCCGTTTCAGTGTCCTGTCTAAAGAGAGCTAACTCTAAATTCCCCCATTCTCAGACCAGTGAAGGAGGTGCTCAATTTTCCCCAGAGCTCAGAATATGCTTATTGCCAAGAACTTGTAGGGTGCAGTGAAGACTTTACAGGCTGAAGTTCAACCTTTGGGTCTTCCTTTGTCATGAAGTTTGTTTATGTGGTTAGGATCAGGTATTCATGCCATAACCTTTAAAAAGCTGTGATGGGAATAAACAAGAGTGTACTTAGAACCTCGTAACCACCATTGGCTTAGATTCACCAAGCCAATTTCAAGTTCCTCCTGAAACCACTGGACTAATCCTAGAAGACAACCTCAAGGAGCTCTGGATCATTGCTGGAAACCAATGATCTACTGTAATCCACGTTGGGTTCCAAAGTTCAGAGCAAAATGGATTCTTTTTCAGTCATCGAACTGGCTTTGGTGATGCTCTTGCGTGAAAACGAGTGGATTGAATTGATTGTGTCCTCGGTCAGGGCGTTAGCCAGTCTGGACAGGATGGTGACCTTAAACTTTTTGAAATCTTGGCCCATGAAGACGTACAGAATGGGGTTCATGCAGCTGTTAGAAGCAGCGATGGCCGTGACCAGGGGCAAGCCGATCTCAAAGACGTTTTCTGGAACTGAGCGGTGATCCGTTTCCAGGAGGTGGAGAGTATGGTACGGGCACCAACACAGGAAGAAGGTGGTGATAATGGCCACAATAATTCTCAAGGGCTTCTTGGACTTGGCCAGACGGTTCTTCTTCAGCCGAAAAATTATGGTAATGTAACATACTGTGATAACAATCATGGGTATGATAAACCCCACCAAGAAGCGAAAGGTGGTTACCATTTTATGTCTCTGGATGCCGAGGGTGGTGTCATTTGGAGAACTGGACAAGGAGAAGTTGTAAAAACAACGGATGTGGTCATGGGTGGTTGTGGTGTCTCGAAAAACAAGGGAAGGGGAGCTCATTAGAAAACCAAGCACCCAAATTAGGATGCAGGACAACCAGGCGATTGTCGGGGTCCGACGCTTTTGGGATTGGACTGGGAAGACCACCAAAATGCAACGATCAATACTGATGGTGGTCAAGAGAAGCACGCTGGTGCACATGTTGAGGTTGAGAAGCAAAGTGCTGACTTTGCACATGTCTCTGCCGAAAACCCAGTGGAAGCCCATGGCGGTGTAGGCGATGTTCAGGGGCAGGAAGACATTGAACAAGAAGTCGGCAGCTGCCAGGTTGAGGAACCAGATTGTGGTGACCGATTTCTTCATCTTGAAGATAATTGCGATGACCAAGCCATTGCCCAATAGACCCAGGAGGCAGGTGAGGCTGTAGATGAGAGCAGCAACCACTTGAACGATGGTCAGGGCTTCTATTTGGGGGGGTTTGCTATATGTGTCTCTAACAGGGTTGAAGTGCTCGTAAATATAGTAGTCAGGGTAATCCGTAATATTCTCCAGTTCTTCCATGACCTGTTGGAACACAGATGGGTCAAAAACCTGACCTGGTGCCAAGGTGGTTCTACACCATGGTTAGGAAACACAGAAAAGTGAAGGCTGATAGGACAAGCCAGTGAGAACTAGCCTCATCTAAGACTGCCTGTAATGGCCGAGTAACAACAAAGAACTATTGTTGCAAGTTAAAACTAATTGATATGGTTGGATAGAGAAGAGTGTAGCCAAATCTCTACACAATGTCTTCTTCCTTGGATGACCCCAATCCTATCCAGTGACGCCACTTCCAATGCGTGGAGAGGAAGGAAGGGGCTAAATAAGGCATTCTCCAAAATAAGTAAGTATCCTGCCTTGAAAATGTCCCAGAATCCCTTGCAGGGGGGGGGACAAGGCAGATCATACACCTACCGATGTTAGATCAACCTGCATGAAAGCACCAGTAGATTTCTCCTAGCTGGCATTTTAAAAAAGAAGGAGAAAAATCCTTTGGCAAGCTGAGCACAGTGGTGTAAATAATTTAATACATAATAAATAGAAGGCTAACATGGTTTTTGCGTGAAAGTAAGGCCCTGGTGAGCTTTGAAATTTTAATGGCATCACTTGCAACACTCACAACTGTTGTCAAAGACAATACAAACAGGAGGACAATGTTACTTAACCACGGCCACTTTAAGACATGTGGACTTCAGCTCCCAGAATTCCCCAGCCAGCCATGCTGGCTGGGGAATTCTGGGAGCTGAAGTCCACATGTCTTAAAGTAGCCATGGTTAAGAGAAACTAGGTTAAATCTAATCTAAGAAAGCAACTCAAAAGCATCCATTTTTTTTGTCAGCACGGCGCTTCTCCTTGGAGATCCTGCTGAATGGAACCGAGTAAGAAATTTTAAGATGGATCTTAAAAGGCAAGCAAAGGATTTCCAAGCAAACAAAAACATGAACATTTCATGGCCAAGTTTTACATCTGGGGGCAAGGAAACCGATGGGCAGCGGGCTTCTGCCAGCAGGATGAGGCCAACCCATCTGGCCTGCGAATCACAGCTCTAGAAGACCCAGATGAACCGTCTTTCCAAAGCTGTGGACAAGCTGTAGTAGGATTCCAGAACGGCTCCAGATCCAAAGTTCCTTGGCCGTCTCAACTATCATATGATGAAGCCAAGAGAGCGGGGGTTGCAAGTCATTGTTCAGTTGGACTAGAATACAGAATCACAGAGTTGGAAGGGACCTCAGAGGTCTTCTAGTCCAACCCCTTGCTCAAGCAGGAGACCCTATTCCATTCTGGACAAATGGCTGTCCAATCTCTTCTTGGAAACCTCCAGTGACGGAGCACCCACAACTTCTGAAGACAACCCGTTCTACTGATTAATTTTTCTCACTGCCAGGAAGTTTCTCCTTAGTTCTAGGCTGCTTCTCTCTCTGATAAGCTCCCATGCTGCTCTCCCTGAAAGTGGCTGCCAAGGACCCACTGCAGAATCACACACGGCCGGCCAGGCGCAGTAATATCTCCACGGGTTTCGTTTCTCCACATGACACCCCAAGTCATAGACCAAGCACGCATTCTGTGAGTCAGACAGACAAAGCCAGGCATAGAAAAGTCAGGATTCAGACAGGCCCTTGACCTGAATGTTCTTACCATCAACAAGCGAGGCTCAAAGCAGGAATACGGAGAAAGAACAGCCGGGGGCGAGTTCAGCTGAGTCGGCCTTACGGGAACTTTTCCTGCCAAGGGTACAAAACAAACAACAATGACACCCGGTGGAGTGGAGACTGTCGGCCAACGGACGAGGGAAGCAATGTTCCTGTTTAATGAGCCATTCGAGGCAAGGGCTGGGTTTATGCTGCCTTGCAGGCAGGCAGTTTTGGGAAAGAGGAAACTCTTTCAGAGAAGTTCAGCTCTTTTTTGCTTTCCCTCTGTCCTGGTGGGTGGGTGGGTGGGTGGGAGGGAGGGAGGCGGGCAGCAGTTTGGGTGGCTCCGAATTGGCAGAATCGGAGCCTCTGCCATCCTGGATGAACCCAGGCGCCCCTCTGGAGTGTCCCTTCAAGCTAATGAATGACCCTCCTCTGCTTTCGACCTCAGAACTGACGCCCCCCCATGAGTGATTTCCGAGGATGGAGGAGAACATCTCAGAAGGTGGAGCAGGGCTGAGGAGAACCCGAGCTATGACTTTAGAATAAGCATCAGAGCTTCCAAGCGTGTCCTTCTTGGGCTGGTGGGACCCCTTCTTCTCCCGGGGTCTCATGTCTGGTCAGAATGCCCAGTGGCCCATAAAGCACTGCCCGGGAGAGCCTTGGGATTAAGGAGGGTGGCTCTACTTCTGATGGGAACATCCAAAGTCTTATTTCTCTTCTCAACTTGGGTGGGTTTCCAGCAGCCTCCTCAGATTTTGCAAAGAGATTCTGCAAAGCAACCCAAGCAACCATCTCAGCACTTTTTCTTCTCAAAACCCAAACAGGATGTCCTAATTTAGAAGCCTCCTGACTCAGGCCCTGAGCACCAACGCAGTCAGCCCTCCCTGCCCCCCAAAGAGCCAAAAGCAAAAAACACAAAAAAGCCTACAGGGCCGTCTTTCTCCTCGTTTCCTTTCCTGTCTCTGCCCCACCAAGGACGGGCGACCTGCAGAGCTCTGCTGTTCCTGGCAGGCTGCAAGCCGTCCCGATTGTTGCTTTCTAGGCAGGAGATAAGGATGCCCATAGAACTGCCTGCTCAGCTTTTGTGCGCTCAACACCAAGGCTATCAGGTGTTTGGAAACACAGCCGCCACAACACGCAAAGGAAAACAAAGGAAATCTCAGTCTGGGAGGGAGGTCAAGAGGGAACAAGGCTACACGAACCACAGAACAATGCCTGCCTGCTCGTCTCCCCTCTGCCTAGGATTTGGCTCACCAGTCCCTGCCTCCCCCCAAGGCAGGCCTGGCCCTGGTTTAGCCACGCAGCCACCTGCCCCCTCTGCTTTTTATCCAAAACGGCCGATATCCTGGAATTCCTGCCCACAGACCCCCAAATGTGTGCATGCCTTCCAGGTCAGGACTGCGCTTGTAATAGGTCTTGAGCCGAGTCATGCCTGAGTGGGCAACGGATATCTCTCCCTTCTGATGCAAACCACTGGAGGTGTCTGCAGAGCAAAAAAGTCAAGAGAATTGTGGCCCCCACAGTGCAATCCAAGCTCCATCCCTTTTCTAGGTGCACCCCAGAGTATGGATCCTAAGCCAAGTTTGGTTTATCCAAGGAGATCAACTGATTTGACCAGGCATCCCTGGATCGACAAGGGCTGAAGGGGCTAGAACTTCCAATTTGGTGGCTCATCAAACTATTTTAGATGCAGGAGAAATAAGCCAGGTGTGCTAAGTTTGCAAAGCATCTCCCATGCCCTCCTACCCTCCCATCCACCCACCCACAAACAAACTTGGTTACAGCCAATTTTAAATCTTAGTGGCTCTGACCCTTGGAGAGGTTTGAGAGAAGACTGTTCTCACCCTTGGTGTCTCTCCTCAGGAGGTCTTTTGCTCTGCACTCTAACTTCCTTGTTCCCCCCCTACTCTAACCTGCCCTAGGAGGTGATGCAGCTGTCTATCATTCTTCAAACACCCACAACCATAGAGGGACTCCCTGGAACCCCCCACCCCTTGTGAAGAGACAGAGGCGGCCTTACTTTGCTGGTGAGGAAATGTCCCTTTCAGAAGATGTTTCAGCTCAAGGAAGTCTTCACGACCAGAAGTCTGGATGCGAACCTGCATAAACCAGAAAATGATGCAAGGAAAAGAAGAAGATGCAGCAAGCAAAAAAAGGAAGAGAAGGTGGAGCAAGTGAGATAAGATATTATTAGCTCCCTTAAATTTTATTGACTTCCTGTGTCACTCATTTCTGGTGTGACCTCCTCCACCTTCACCTTCTGCCATCTCATGTCCCCAGCCATGAAATGAGAGTTGGGCATCGCCTCAAGCAAAGGTGGCCACTGACTTTGAGGACCCAACGGCCACCTCTTCCTTGAGACAATGCCCAACTCTCATTTTGAGGGCCTACAGCCGAAGAGCCAAGCAACTTCAGAACATCCCATCTGCAGAAACTTTTCTTTTGTCTGTTTGCTCAGAGAGGATTCCTACTCACTCCAGGTGACCATGGACAAGGGCTGTTGACCAGCCTCCAGACTGGAGATTCCAAAGTGCCTGAAGTTGTCCTGAAGCTGAAGTTGGGACCCTCACTTAGAAGTCTCAGCCTCTTCTCCTTCAGCTTCTCTTAGCAGTCTACCTTCAAGACATGCACTCTGCTTCTCAGCGTCCACCAAGGCTCTCCATGCTTGCTGAAATACTGTGCTTCCCAAGCATTTAATCTACATCAAGACAACCATCTCTTCTGGCCAGCTGGAGTTCCACCCCCGAGTAAAATCAGAGGCCAACTGGGAAAGGCCAGCATTTGAAGCCCTGGTTGGGCTCTGCCCAGAAGCCTGAAGTGCAGAAGCCGTGAAACGGAAGAGAGGACAGTCTTAAGGTGATTCCTTCAGGATCAAAGAGAAGACTTTAACTTATAATGTGATCACCAGGCTCAGGGCAATCCTTGTTCAGGTACACCAGGCGCTCCGATCAGAGTGAAACGGTTTTCAGTGCTGCCCTCTGAGAGATTTTCAGGTCCTCCAGCAATGCTGCCTTGGCTCTTGTTGAGTCCGGATGCCAGCTGGAAAGAGGCAGGGAGACCAAATGTTGTTTCATGCTCAGTCCTAGATAAACAGCCACCCAGGCGTGGCTTTGCACAGCCAGGGACACAGAGGGGGAGACGTTTTCCCAGGCGCTCTGTTGCTTTGATCTAAGAAAGCTCCCATGCTTATCTCTGGTTGCACCCAGACTGAGCCCCTGCCCTCTCTCTGACAATTCTGGGTTTAGCTGCTTCCCCAGCAACAAGGGAAGAAGAAAGCGCTGCCTGGGGGAATCTAACAGGACATCAAGCGGGGACCATGGAAAGCATGGTGCCCTCAGCTGTCCTAAGAAAATTCATTATCTCAGGCTTCATTGGGGCCAGGGATCCTTGGGCGTCCCGTGAAAGACATCCAAAGAGCCTTGAAGCTGGATCAGGCCAAGGGCATAGCTGAGCTGGCAGGCTGTCTGAAGCCTCCTGAGATGAAGAGGAGGCCAGTGCTGCAGTTGAGGAAACACCTTCAATTCCAGAGGGATCAAAGGTTGTGTTAGATCAGCAGTCACTGACACCGCCACATCCCGCCCTATTTTAAAAAAAGCATCCACCTTGTGCTTGTGCATTGATTTATGTGTTTGTTTATTTACTGAGAGGTTCAGGTTGAAGGACAGAAGATGCTATCGTCCAAGCTGCATCCTTGGGCCCCTGAAGCCACCAAGAGACCCAGGACGCTTGGTTGGAGATTGCAACCCTGGAGCTGAAGCAGAGACTGGTGGGCCCACCCAGCAGCTGTCCGTGAAGGTCGCCAAGAAATGCAGAACTAACCAGACAATCTGTTGAGAAGCTGCTCCCAACTCATCCTGTGTGGTTTCTTTCCAGACCTCTGTTCCAAATAAAGGATTGCGGATCTTTTATTGCAACTGTTTGCTAGATGTGTTTTCAGCTGCCCTCGACCAGGAAGGACTTGGCCTTCTCACAGACACAGTTTCTTCCTTCTGGGGCTGCAAGTTGAACCTGGGAGTCAGAGTTCATAAAGGTCTTTCACTCTGTTTGGTGGGCTTAATTTGCCTGGCATTCTATGGGTGGCAGGAAAGAAACGGGTTTTGCACACGGATGTGAGCTCAAGATCCAGCAGTCATTCTAAGAAAACCATGATGGGAACCAGATCATAATGGGGCCGGATGAGCAGAGTGTGAATTTTTCCATCGCCACAACTAGTTGACCACAAAACGTCACCCATCTCAGCACCCACTTCCTTTTTTCAGTCTTCTCCTTTGGCCAATTGAGGCACCATATGCTGAGTCAGCAAACTGTTGTGAGATTTTGGCACGTTATTGTGACGATGCTTGAGTGACTGATATCCCCATTTATGTTCAGAGGGGTCTCCAAATGAGTAGCAGGGAAAGGCTATTAAGTAGCTCACGTAAATAGGTCCTTGTAGGAAGAGGCCTCTGGATGGACCCACTTCCCAAAGGAGCCCCTTGCCTGCATGGGGAAATAGAGGAGGCCTTGGGCTGTGTGTGAAAGAAGGTCATTATTAAGAGGGCAAATGCTACAGACCATAATATTCAAAATATTGGTCTTGATTTGATCCAATGAGCTTGCTTATCTCAGTCCCAGACCAAGGGGTATTCTCATAGGACATAAAACCAGTCAAAGCTTAAATTTGACCATGATGGTTATCATCCTGGACTTTTGGACTGTAGAAACCCTGGATGGTTTGGCTTCGTTTGGTGTCTTCTCTGATTTTCCAGAGCTAGGAAGACCCCAAAGGGCATCTTTTCCAGGGTATACAGTCACACATTCCTCTCCTCTCCTCTCCACAAGGTTTGGTCAGCTTCAGAGGCTCTCCCAAATCTTCCAGAGCAGTTTGGGTGGGACGTCAGAAGCCCAAGGAGCCACCAGAACTTCCTTGGTGCTTCAACCTCCTGGAGAAGACCCCAGCCTTTTCTCTGGCAGGTCTGCCTGGCAAATGTTTTCAAAAAGGAACATCTGGAGGTATGCATTTTTGACTCTTCCGGTTTCGCCCTTCATGTTTTGTCTAAGTCCCCCAATGTCTTTGGGCTGAAATCTGAGGACAG